TTTCCTGACGAACCTTCACTATGCCAGTAACCTCGTGCTTCTAAGTGACTCCGCAGGTGGCCTTCTGAGAGTCACCTAAAACACCTGAAAAAGTGAGGCCACAGGTGAATGCCAAAAGGACGAAAATTTTGAGAGCACCTGCCATGACGCAGCAGTCCAAGGGCATGATAGAATGGTATGATGCCGAAAGAAGTGGTTCATTTCAAGCACATAAGAACTGTGTTGATTAACGGGGCTGATACTGATCCTGAAGTAATTAGTATCAGACTGTTATAAGTGAATTATGGCAAGCTGTTAACATTTGAAAACGTCGTACTATATGAACGGACACAAATATCACTATTACGAAAGCAACCGTGTTCTACTGCTCGTGCTCACCCGTCTTGAAACATCTGCCATCATGAAGCTCCTTTAGAAGCTTCCATCAGTGCTGTCTACGTCCCATCCTCAATTGCGATTGTACCATCGACTCAGGAACAAGCAGGCTCTGATTACCACTGGTCAGAAAAGTAAGAGATAAGCCCAGAGACGTGCGTCTGTCGTGGTTTAATAAAAACGGCCCAGAATGAGATGGAAATGTTTGCAAAAATTTTCCCTATTGAGAACAGCTCATTCGCTGTAGGTTGGTAAGAAGACAGTTGAGCACGTAAACCTCGTTGGGGCAGACTTGATTGCGCAGAGGCATGACCTTTGTCACAGCTGTGAATTTTGCTGAAAATGTCAATCTAAGGTATCGTTTCTAACGGCCAGACCATAAATCTGGGTTATTCTGTTGTTTTATCTCTTTTAACCTCAGATAACGATAACAAACTAACTACAGTTTTGTTAGTGAACCCAAAATATTCAGATTGTTTTTGCTTGTATAATCAAATGTCTCTTTAAATAATACATGACTGGGTGATCTAATAAGAGTAAATGTCCAGGCTTTATCTGCTAGTGCTCCTACATTTTATCAAGGTTTACGTAAGCTGCGTTCACGTCGATCGAAAATCATCCGTATATAGCTCCTGTAAAAGATTCTGTAAAATTTAATGTAATTTCAGAACGTATTTGCATTCCTTTTATAAAAGTTTTTTGCTTTAGGCTACTGGTACAGACAGGATTTCATACGTTACCCGTCCGGTAACGAGCTATGACAATTTTAAGCCGATGATATGTTCGGCAAACAATGCAGTTGGGAAGGTAGTGAAAATTCGAAAATACCTTCAGATCGTCTGTAAGTATCATTTTTCGTTATAGTATTGTGTTCATGTTCCTTCTTCGTAAGTTTAATAACTCGCTTAAGGTTTATACTGTTTTTATGAAATCATTGTAAAGTTGTGTCACGACTACAAAGGTCATATGAATAGTCATTCAACAGAACTTGCTTCGACTACGGAAGTAGTTAAATATTGTCACCTTGAACTGTCAGTCCTTGAAAAGTGAAGACAAGCAAGCTGCCGTTACGAAAATCTTGAACAGTCTAATCATGAGCCGATCATATACCTCCAAAAAGCGCTGTTAAAGGAAGATAAATTACAACAATGTGCTATCCTGATAGCTAGGCATCTTCGGTATTATTCTGATCGAAGAAGGTGCATGTATCTGTGGCGTTGCAATGAGTTGAGACTGCGAATGAGTTAAAAAAGAATGGATACGCCCAAAATTATGCTTGACAAAGATCAAAGTCTCTCAGAGCAGCATGGAATATATTCACCCACGCGCATAGATGAAGAATGCAAGAACGCTTTGTACAGTGGGCCTGAACGGTGATCTGTTGTCCCGTGGAGCGACCTTGTAATCCTTGGAATGGTACCAGTGCACAATTTGGCAGCGATAATCTCACTAGGAAAATGGTTCCTGTGGGCACAAACGACCACAGAAAATGGATCGATGCTCCTCAAAGATTCAGCATTGCAATTGCGATGGTCCTGAAGCGAAATCGACGCTCCCAAAGACCAACGTGGCATGGCCCGCGGCGTTTGACTATTGACCAGCGAAAAGAGCATGGCTCGAAGAAATTCAACTACAGTTTTGATTGTATACTCATAAATGACCGTTGGAGGTATATAGTAAGACTGTCTAGAAGCATCTGGGAATGCGTCTTTCTGTCTGACAATGTCCCAATGGTCTTAACCATTGTGCTTATATCATTCCCACGAGGGATACGGTACCAAGGCTTAATGTGGCATCGTTACAGGAAAATCCAGCTGCCAGGAGAAAATTCTCGATGGCGTTCAATAAGACACTGGAAAGGCATTTG